CCCCAGGCTAATAATGTCCTTACATTTGATACATTTTTAAAAAATTAAGCAGAATCAACAATGTGTGTTCGGGGCGCCAGAAAATATTAAAGCAGGGTGCCCTCCCCTTTAAATAACTTGATAAATTGGTAACAGTAAAAAAGAAAAAAAGAAAAAAAGTAAGCAGTGTTAACCTAGAAATTATAATTATAATTGGATCTGTAATCCTATGATGCGAAGAAAGTAAGGTAAAAAAAAAAAATATTATTTACACCTATTTAATTGTTGTAATATAAGATTACTATATCACTACAGTCTATATTACAAATTGAAAATTGTAGCCAATGTCATTTTTATAGTCAATAAGACTGACAAAAATTATGGGCAGCTAATACATTTTTTTTGAAGATTTTCGGTTTATCATTGATTTTATTCATTCGTTTATTTGCCTTGTACTTTGACTTTTAAATAAGGGACCCGCAAATTTAAGTCTTTCCCTGGTCGTGGAGAGAAACAGTTCGGAGGCCATTAAAAAGTAGTAACTGTAATAGAAGTCGCAGTAGTAACATGAACACCTGTAGTAGTAGTAGTAGTAGTAGCTGTTCAGTATAGTAGTACCTGCAGGATAAGTAGGAGAAAGAGGAGAAAAAAAAAGATTAAGAAAAGAAGGAAATTAAATACTTTTAAAATACACACTATGTGAAAGTCCAAATGGTATTTACTGTATAGCAATCATTATTCCTAGCAAAAGATGGTGTCAGGAAGGAACTAACATTATTTACCCCTATATTAGTTTCCTTCACAAACTGAAGTTTTTTTTTATGAAAAAAATAACAGATTCATTATAATTACCAAACAGTGTTATTCACTATAATATAATATACCTTTTATATATGTCATCACAATTAAGCCACTAATAATAATAACGAGCATAGTGATGATCATAAACACCGGTATTGTATCACAAAGAAAAAAAAAAAGAAGAAGAAAAAGAAAAGAAAAAAAGAAAAAGAAGAAGAAAAAGAAGAACAGCCAC